TCTTAAGATTTTATACTCAAACTCTTACTGTCCCTTTCCTGCCTTATTTAATCCCTTATGATACATCATCATCAAAAAATCAGAATTATGAGCTTTTCCCCCTACATATCCTTCTTCCAAAAGCCCCTAAATACTGACTTTTTTCTTCAAATATAGCCTATTCAACAAGTGGTGGTGGGAAAATTAGGTAACTGTTTGCAGAAGATTGAACTTGGCCCCATATCTCTCACCATGTACTAAATTAAAAATACATCAGAGATCTAAGCATTAAAACAAACATTGAACCTACTGGAAGATAAAATAGGTAAAACACTTGAAGTCACAAGTATAGGAAATGATTTTCTAGACAAAACTGAAATTGTACAAGAAATAACAGCAAGAATCAACAAATGGGATTACATCAAGTTAAAAAACTTTTTGCCACCTGTTCCTCAAACAGAGGACTAATATCTAGAATATGCAAGGAACTCAAAATAGACCACCTAAAATAAAGAGCCAGTCAAGAAATGGGCAAATGAAATGAACAGACACTTCACAGTGGAAGAAGTACGTGTGGCCAGCATATACTCTAAAACCTTGGTTTGTGAGCATAATTCATTCTGGAAATGTGCTTATAATCCAAAGCACTCATATATCAAAGCGAATTTCCCCATAAGAAGTAATGGAAACTCAGACAATTCACTCTACAACCCAAAAATATTCATATAAAATGATTATAATACTGTAATATAATAAAATACAAAATATAATGAAAAATAAATTAACCTGCACTTTGAAAACCTTCATGGCTGATGTGAGGGAGACAAGAGAGGAGGGTTACTGTGTAGGATGACTTTCACTATCACTAAGGGAATCACTGCTCTCTATTGGCTCAGTGGAATCTTTTTCTTTCCATGCAACTTTAATAAAAAACCTATCCAATGATGCTTGCTTTTCCCTGCTTTTGAGGATTTTTTGGAATTGTGACATTGCATCGTCATTAAGCAGATTCGTTGCTCACAGTGCTACAGCCTTATTTGGAAGGTGCTTTTCTACAAAATTTTGTACTATTTTCTACATATGACATTCAGTGTCATGTACTACTTGCATCACAAGATGTTGTTCATTTATTAAGTTAAAATTTATTAGAAATGTTTCCTCATCTTGCAGACCACTTGCAGAAGAAGTAACTTACAATCCAAGGTTTATTGTGTATGAAAAAATATTCAACATCTGTGGCCATTAGAGAAATGCAAATTAAAACAATACTAAGATTCTATCATACACCAGAAAGAATGGCAGTCATCAAGAAATCAAAAAGTAACAATTGCTGGTGAGGCTGGGGTGAAAATGAAACCCTCCTACATGGTTGGTGAGAATGAAAACTTATCAGCCATTATGAGATCAGGATGGAGATTTCTTAAAGAACCAGAATTAGAAATTCCATATGACCCACATATCCCTCTTTTAGATATCTTCCCCCCAAAACTTAAGATATCATATACTATAATGATACATGCAAACCAGTGTTTAGAGTAGTTAATTCATAATAGCTAATTCATAATAGTTAAATTCTGGAAGCAGAATGTATACCCATCAACAGATGATTGGATAAAGAAAATGTGGTATCTGTACATAATGGAATACTACCTGGCTATAGAGAAGGACAAATTTGAGATATATGTAGGAAAATGAATGCACCTAGAAAATATAATGTTAAGTGAAATAAACCAGACACGCAATCTCAAATACAGTATGGTATCTCTCATTTGAGTAAGGGAAAGTACAAAGAGAAAAATGAAGGATGGATAGGCGACAAGGGGATGGATGTATTGCAAATGGAAAGGGGGCCAAGAAAACATGGGTGAGAGGAGAGGGGGAGGAGAAGGGGAAATAAATAGAATGAAGACATGTACAAGGAACCTGACAGCCTGAATGAATGTGAACATTATATGCCATAAACATGAGCTAAGATTAATAATATCAACCAGAATGAAAATGAGGAAAGGGAAATTAGAGGAGGGAAAAGGAATGGAGATTAAAAAAAGGATCAAGCTGTATTATGTACACGTACCCACTCCCCAAGATGATTGTAAGCTGTATGTACTACAAACTTATATTAATA